GCTGCAGATTGTCATTTCCTATTTTGGGTAGGGAAGTGCCTTTGTAAACCCATTCAACACATCGACGGTTTCGAACCATTTGTTTAGTTTAATTCGTAATGCAGAGATTGTTCTTGCATTTTTATTGTTCAGATGTTTCTGAAATGTACAGTCTGTACATATGTCCTGAAAATGTTTTAATTCCTTTGGCATGGTTGCCATGTTGGTTAAATTTGTATGAGGCAATAAACTGCCACTAATTCTACTTGCATTTTGTAGACGTGGAATTATGGTTTGTATCCTGAAGTTAGCATGGCTGTGCTTTACATAATAGTATGGCAATTTTAGGGGTGGATCTTGAATGTGTATTATAGCTGAGATATTTATGTGCATACAACGTACACGGAGGGCTGCAGATTTAGAATAACGTTTATGTCCACTGTACCTGCTGTTTTCAAAAGCTTTTAAAATGTATTATGTTGTTGATCACCGCTGGTGTTAAACTGAGAGTGGACTTTGAAGGAGATAGTGGTTTTGATGCAAAGATTTTAGATTATGTTGGGGCTTGTTTAGTAATTCTTTAGGAAGGCTACCTCAAGCAGACACTGTAAAGGTTGATGGATGAGTACTGTAGCCATCTATGCATTTTGTTTGGGGAAAAAAAAAAAATAATCATGTAAGCTTCCAATTCATTTAAACAGTTCATCCATTTGTGGTCTTCTAATGTCTTTAATCAGCAGCTGCACTCTGTCATTTATGGTAATCCTGGGCTAATAAAGGCATTTAAGATGGGAAGAGGGAGGTAGGAGGAAGAAGATCATTACAAAAGATTTCAGTTTCAAGCTTCCAAAGCATTTTTCTAAGTGTAAACATTTAAAATATGAATTACCTAATAGTGTCCTTTTTTAAGTCATATTTTCTACAAATAGGAAGATTGCAGTTTGTGCAGAACGTTTCATCTGGCAGATTTTTTTTAAACAGGTTGTTAGAAGCAAAAACCAAAATGCATTATAGGGAAAAACAAAATCCATTTCATTAAAGTCCAGGCTTATTTGATAGATTATTCTGACTTGTATACTAAGTGAGGAGAACCATCTGGAATAAACTCTCAATTAATTCCTTTGTATTGGGTCTCAGCTTTTCCCTGCATGCTTATTGCCAGTCGAAGTGTTTGTGTTCCTCCATCTTTCATCTTAAACCAAGTGACACTTTATGAATAAGGCCTTTTATGTAACAGGTACCTTATGTAGAACATGTAACTAACAAAGAAATGGAGTAGCCTGGGAAATGGGAAGAACGTGCGGGTGACTTAAGTTAGGGTCTTGAAGTGAAGTGAAGGTAGGAATAAATTGATGTTTGTGCTTTTTTGCTTCTGTCTAATGCAGGTCATCTAGGTATAATATATTGAAATATTAATGTTTTCTTAAACCATTTTCCTGAGTATTCACTAAATATTTATCTTAAATCCTACTGTAGTAAAACAATTCTTACATTGTCACTAATCTTTCATGAGGAGAAAAAACAAAAAGTGCTTGATTTGTAATAATACCATTCATTCTGTAGGAGTTAAGGAAGCAAAAATAACAAACTCAATTTTCTCTTCCTCTCTGCACTTAGTGCTTTGCAAGGAGTTAGTCTTTCTTTTGTCACCATGATCAGCAGTATGAGAAGCGTCGATAATGAGGTTGTTTAGTTGGTGTTATATTTTTATCTGAATTTAAAATCTAAGCTTGAAACTAAGTGTATCCTTGAACAAGTTTCACCGCAATTTAATTGCGGTGTTTGAACTTTTAGTGGCAGAGGAGAAAAGCTGTGTTGGCCATTCAAGAAATACCTTGATTAGTAGATGATTAGAACTAACCTTGCAGTCCACCAGAAGAGTCTGGAAGGATTTTTCAAAAGAATTAGGACAGCTTTGATGTCTGTGGAACACCTTATTTGCTACTGGAGGGCTTGTAAGCTTTTAACCTTCAGCCACTGAGTTTCTGAAATAAGTATATTTTGTGGCAGAGCAGCTGTAAGGCCAGTGTTCATTATGCCAGGGAAAATTAATTACTGATTTCAAGTTGTCTTCAGTGCTTCTCTTTTCCCATTGCTTGGAGTTACGATGAAGGATTGGTTTATTTGCAGACAAACTCCAGATACATGAGAAACTATCTCCTTGAAGTGGATAGAGCTGTCTTACTGTAATAACAATAGTGAACATTTTGATACAGCTTGTGCAAAGGCCAGCCCATGCCAGTGTCTCTTACAAATGCAATAATTTGAGGACTTTGCCTTTTTTCAATAAATAGGACTTTTTGACTCTTGGACCTGATTTATCTGTATACTGTACTTGAGCTAGCAGTGTAGGGGATAGCACAGTATTTGTGACTGACCAAAATGTGAAAATCATTTAAACCAAGACACCTGTCTTAAATTATTGGGATTTAGTATCTTACAGCTCTTGGGTTTGGATACAGGGACTCTTTAATTCTTTTTGTCTTTCTGATGCTATTTTAATTTGTGCTACTGTCCTTGAAACCTGAAGGAACAGATCCAAAGAACTTCCACAACAGCTCTGATCAGAAACAGTAAGATCTGTAGAGCGCTGATAGGTCTGATGTGGTAGCTAGCAGTACAAGCTGCAGCACTGATTTGTCTCCTGGTTGTTGGAGAAAGTTCTGTAAAACTTCATTTCTCCCAGGAGGCATGGTTACAGAGCTTTGTCCTGACAAGAGCCTGTTCGATTACTCTGTTCTGAGGTTAAAGGTGCAACAGGTCAAACACTGTGAACTTGAAGTTTCCAAGGTTTTACCGTGTGTCCATAGTGTTTGATCATATTGACACACCTATGTAATCATTTCTCTTGAAGCCAAATATGTCTTGGAAATTTCCTGTAGCTTCAAAGGTAAGTACTTATCTGGACTAACGATACTAATTTAAGAAATAAAATACTTAATTACTTTTCTTTCCTTTTGAAGATATTACCTAATTAGCTGAACATTATTTCAGATATTAAGAGGTAGTAAACTGGCATCCTTTAAGTAAGGATGAAGGCTTTGTGACCCCAACGATTTACATCCATCTATTGCCACACAACTATACAGGGAATAGGTGTAAATAAAAAAAATAAAAATTTGTGCATCTCTGAATTCTGAACATGTTGAGAATGGTATTTTGATTGTCTCTGTATTGGAAAAAGTAATCTGAATGGCAGGGCTATACACCAGATTGCATTCTGTGGGAGTACTTGTGTGCACCTGTTTTCATATGTTGCTGAAATATTACTGAGCTTGTAGTTTTTGTATTTAAAGCTGAATGTCACAGTAGACTCATAATAAAAACAGTATACAAAGCATCAGGAAATGCTAAGGAGAAGCTAAAAGAATTAGATGACTTCCACTGACTGCTACATGCTTGAGCACTTCGTTGATGGAAGTGAGAGAACAAAAGTATCAGGATTCTTTACATGAAAGGAGGAAAGCTGTGGTCTAAATTTAAGATGATTCCAAAAGAGACGGCCTTAGACTTTTGAAAGTCCAGTCACTTATCAAATACTGTTGCAAAATCTTTTTATAACAGGTAAACTGAACAAAACTTTTTCTCCCTAACATATAAGAAATTTCAACTGTTAAATAATACAGGGCAGTTTTAGGCCTTCTTTTCTGAAGGACTTGATTGACAGTGAGTCAAATGCAAACCATTTTCTAAGAAGCAATGTGATTTCTTGTGACATCTACGCTCAAGTGCCAGATTCCTATGAGATGGTTTTGTGTAAGAGAGCAGAACCTGTGACGGAGCCAGTACAACTGTGGTCTGCAGAGAAAGGAAACTTCACAATGCATGGCATTTATAACCTGAAAAGTGTTCCAAACAAACCTCTTGACTTCGGTAACATTATTTCCATAATTTTCTGAAGACATTTGTAAAATACCTTTTCATAATTTCATGTATAACTGGAACTCCTGAACATGTTTTATCATATTTGCTATGTTGGCTGAAAAAGTAACCACAGTGGAGTATGAAAAAAGTTCTGCCTTGGGAAAAAGAAAAAAAGCTAACAATGTTAGTAAATGGCATTTGTTAGTTAGCTACAAAGCAGAATATGGATTGAAGAGGTTGTTGTTTACCCTCATGAGTCACCTCAAAATTATAAAGAGGAAACTTACTCTTTTAATTAAAATCAAATAGCATACTTAGATTGTGTCAAAATAGTTTTGAGAGCACCTAAACTTGTTTTTTCTTTAAAAAAAAAAAGTTAAATTTTACTCTTTCTTTTGGCTTTCAGTACTTCAGTGGTATATTAGGTCTAGAATGCCCCTAGTGATTGGTAACAGCTTTTTGGAACAGCTTCTAAAACTGATTGCTGTACAGGGAAAATTACAGTTCACGGTAACCAATATCACTATCTACATTCATCCGCATTTAAAAATGATCTCATTTAGGGCTGAAATTCAGTGTTCTGGATTAGATTTCAGATAGAGCTAGGTGTTCAGCTTCCCTCCCCATCTTGAAGCAGCTGTGACTGTTGCAATTAAGCATAGATGTAATCTTTCGAGCTTCAGGGAAAGAGCAATAGGGAGGATGGTATTAGCAACATCTTTAATATCCAAGGTAGCTCTTGGAGAGCAGAGGAGAGGAAATTATCAACCCTGGGGAAGAAAAAAGCCGGCAGTGACTTCTCACCATCCTTTTGAGAACATCCTTGAGACAAGGACAGTAACTTGCCCAGAAAACGAGTACTTTGTGGGAGATTGAGTAGTTTTGGATGGGAGAAAGAAGGCAATTGAGTACTGGAGAGTAGCTTGATTTGTTTGTCTTTGGTGTAGGGTTCCTCTGATGGGGGATTATAAAATCAATAGAAAAGGCTTAAGGAAGCTGAAGATGGGTTACTGTAGGAGAGGACAAATGAGTATTGGTAGTAGGAGTAGGCAACATGAGGTATATAAGATGGATTTTAACAAATAACTTATATAGAATGAATGCAGTTTATCCCTTCAGTCCCGAAGATTTAAGCAGCTGAAAAAAGCAAACATCCTAATCCTAGGACTCTTAGAACTTACCTCCCTGTCTGAACCACATTGTCCATCTAGACATGTTCTGCATTGTTCTTTCCTCTATAAATCACTGTAACAGAATTCAGAAATTAAGGTGATTTCAATTAGAGTAAAGCAACTGTCTAGGGAAAAGCTTTTGAAACTGTTTTCAGCATTTTTTTGTAGAGAAATGAAGCACAAGACTACTCTGAAGCACTTGCAAAATAAGGTAGAATAGATTCAGGTACGTCATAGCCAGAGTAGTGACCTAGTTTAATCTGTAATTGGATATGGCTATGCTACAAAAGCCTGCCTTTTGTTATGTACTATTAGATAAACAGTAGATGTCATGTGATGGGGTAGAATGGCATGATACCATAAAGTCAATAATGTAGGTAACAAGATTTTTTAAAATAATGCGTTATAAGATAGTGGTGAGACAACCCTGCATAACACTAAGCCTTAACTATCCAATGTAACTTATTTGCAACTTATTTGTTGTCACAGTGTTAATTAGCTTTGCAAACATCATGAATTTGGAATGAATGTGCTATTTGTTCTTACCCATTCCAACAGAGCTTCCAGAACAGGTTACTGAAATGATATGAAAGCAGTATGGATGTTAGATGAGGTTGTAAACTGGAAAACAGTAGGCTGTACAATGTAGTTCATGTTATTCAACTGTGCATTTTCATCAGACAACTGTAGTTACAATAGTTTAAATTTATGTCCTGGGAAAGGAATCCCAAGGAGATTACTGCAACTATTACTACTACAATTTTTATGTATAATACCTCCTATCCTGTTAAGAGTGGTTCATAAAAAGTTCTTAATTTTTTTTTTCCACAAACAATAACAGCAGAAGACAAATCAATTAAAATCCTCTTTTACTTGCTTCTGTAGTCTAACCACTACTATGCCAGCTGAAACTGAACTTCTCTGCATTCACTATGCAAAGAAATGATCTAGTTGAGAAGCATCTGTGTAGATAAGTGCTAGTGATCCTTATGCAAGAAATACATTGAGACAAACAACTTTTTTCTTGCATTAATCCCAAAATGTCCCTGTGAAGCTCCAGTCACAGATGCTGCGTGATAGCACTCATAAAAGTTACTCTGGAGTCAACATTAAAATAGAAAAGTTCTGGGTTGTGCTACCTTTACTCACATAACTTTACTCACATAACTTCTGATTACATTTTAACAATCTAGCATGTATTGACAGAAATATATTGTTCAATTAAGTTTTACCTGAATATATTTTCTTAGGACAAAAAGTCAGCTTTGGCTCCGTATCGGTAACTGGAGATACTACCACTGTGTAGACGTCCCCACAAGGTATCTCAGTGATATCACAGTAACTTTGCCCAGAGCTAGGGGTACAGGTGAAATTGCCTTTTGAACCACGTAAATCAGTATTGTAGCTTTTTGCTTCTGCAGAAGCTCGCCAGTACACCCGGATACCGTTGTTGCCAATTCTGTACAGCTTCACTCCAGAAGGACAGCAAGCACCTAATAGGATATTCAATATATCAATAACCTTACTTGTAAATCCACAATACTTTATAGTGAATTTATACCATGTGATATGATTACTAACCCACTAAATACCAGCATTTCAATGAGCAATTAACATTTAGCAGAAAGCCAGAATAATATTGAATAGGGATGAAAGTGTTCTATCAGACTCTAATATACTATAAAGCTGAAATTTGGTACTTGTTCTATACATGGGAATATTGTTGCTCTTGCCTGTCTCTTGGAGGCTCTAGGGCTACCTAGAAGGTAAGGATCCTTTTGTGGACTCCAGATTTTAATTATGCTATAGCATAATTAAATATTTGGTTCTGGAATGTTGTTATTAAAACTTACTTATATAGCCCCTGATAACAGTTAAAAGAACAGGGGTTGAATGATATGTGAAATCAATCCAAAGTGCATTTATGTAAAAGAGGGAACTGCAAGTGTATTGACTATTTGTTGAATTTCAGCTTCACTATTTGTACGAGAGGAACGCTACGCCAAGTTGTATATTAGGTCTTCCCAATTGCTTTTATTATTTACGTACTGGAAGAGTATCCTTGATACGTGCAACTGGATGTCAAACCAGTTTCACTGATTGCTCTCAGTGATACTGTATAGGTGGTGCCACATGCGATGCATCCCAGGAGACAGTAGTTTTGGAGAGTGTGACACTTTGCCCATCCTTTGGAAGACTCCAGCACTGTTACATATGTCTGAGCACCCATCCCAGCAGACCAGCTGATGTTTGTTACAGACTGTGTCACTTGAGTCAGTGTCAGGTCGTTAGGGCAACAAGGAGCTTAAAAAGGGGAAAAAAAAATGTTTTCTGCTTTTTACTTGTAGAACTGAAATAATTAAGGCATTGCTGCTACGGTATTACATTTTGAAGAGTGAAGGAATGAAAGCTTGCATACTTTTCAAGCAAGTATTAGCATAGTGAAAAACAATCTCAGGCTGTACCTATAGTTTGTTTAAGCAGGGTCCATCTCTACCCGTCAAGTCATATGACTCAGTCTAGCTCTGTCTCTATTTAAGTTTTCCTCCTCTACAAAATAAAATGACTGTTAACAGACAAACTGCCTGCTAAAAATTGACACTGGCCTACATTTATCCCACAACTGTGCCTGGGAATTATGTGGGCAAACAATACAGGACAAAACCGTGTTAACAAATTAATAGCAGGAAGGGTGGTAAGATGCGTTTTAATCTGTTCTTCAGACTATTCTAGTTGTTGGGATGGACACCGCCTTATTGCTTCTCCTGGCAGTATTAAAAGTCAAAATGTTGTCAAGGAGTTTATGCACTATATTAGTGGATGATGTTACTATAGTAGTTAGCTGTGACAAATGATAACTGATTGCACTCGTGTTTCTCAGTATCAGTCAAATGCTTTTCTCTTTCTCTCTCACACACATTTAAGCAGAAGACATCCAGCAACAGAAAATATAATTTACACATGTGGTAATTAAAAAAGTTAAAATATAAACAAAGTAGAAGTATTTTAATGTCAAGATGCTAAATATTTTACAATTCCCACTTACCTGTCTCTAAAGGAACGCTGTAGCTGGGTAAGCTCTGTCCAGCGGGTGACCTTGCTATAGCACTAACAGAGAAAGCAGATCCACAGGGAAGATTAACTAGGGTACAGGAGTTTCCAGAGCTTGTGCAATGCCAAAGTCCAGCGTCTCCTCGTGCAGTTACGGTATATGTAGCTTCTTCATTGTTAGACTGCCAATGCACAGTGACTACAGAAAGAGCCTCCTTTGAGATATTTTTAATTTCAGGACTGCAGGGAGCTGAAAAGTTTCACATTAACAGCTAAATAGTGTTTATGCATACTAAATCAGTTACACATAAAAATTACCTTCCAGTGAGAACTGACAAACTACTGAGAAGTTTATAATCCTTAAAGAGTTGCTTCTGGTGAGAAATTGGAACTTGTGAGAGAAAGAGCAATGTAAGTATTTTGCATAGAAAAACAGACGAATTGTACATCTGAGGTTCAAAAACTTGGAGCATTGAGTAGCTTTCAGTCCAACCCCTTTTAAGGTCCCCAATTACAATATATTTTTAAATATTTCCAGCAGGCTTTTTCATTTGGGTTAGTTATAGTACCTTAGCACTCCCTCTATTAATTCTTTTCATCCATTAATCACTGCAGCCTAATTATTTCGAAAGGAAAATCAGAAAGATCATAATACCTGTTGCCACGTATTTAGATGTGCATGATGTGTTGCTGCCCCTGGCCTCGCTGAATGAGTAAACAGTGATGTTGTAGAGGGTGTTGCAGCGCAGAGCAGACAAGGTGCAGGCCGTGGCGGTGTCGTTGCAGAGCACAGCGCTGCTCCCCTCAGCAGCTTTTGTCTCGTACAGTTCAGCACCGCGGACAGGAGCCCAGGTCACCTCCACAGTGTCACTTGTCACCAGCACAGCGTGGAAGTCACTGGGGCAGCAAGGTGCTAGGAGAGGCAAGAAAGAGGTGGAAACTTCAGCAGGAACAGAGACCGGGCATTAAACTGAACAGTGTTGTGTTGTTTACCTCTGTGATTCATATCTTAAATCTCTAGAAGTGTTTTATTTTGTGCAAATTGAAAACCATTAATTACAGACTTACTTTTTGAATTACTTCCATATCCCTCCTTTAATGGAGGGCATTCTAATGCAACACATATTTATATATACACAGAATTATGTATGTCCTTGATTTAAAATTCCAAGTAACTCTAGTAACATTAAAGTAACTCCAACGATGTTCTTCACATTTAAATTGTTATTTTTAGTTTTCCAAATATGAAAACCATCTCTAAAGAAGTTTAACACTTTTGTACATCCTTCTCAAGGCAACAGAAAAAAATCCAGGGCTACAATTCAAATGTCATCCCAGGACTGTGTGTTGTTCATACATTCCTGTCTAATGTTTGTAGAACGTAAAGCTATCTTCCAGTTTGTAAGTATGTTGCATTTGAGTAGTTAAGTTAAAATCAACTTCAATGTGAAGTGGTTATTTTTCTCTGCCAACTTCTGTGTGTTTTGTCCCCAAATTGAATAAAAACTGTTCAAGTCATTATCTCGCAAAAACCAAAACCAAACAAACGAAAAGTCCAGTCAGCTCTATCATAAATACAGTTAACGGATCCAAAATGAATTTGCAAGAATATATTAATACTTACCAGTGGTGTAATTGAATACATCGCCTAAAGGACTCTGCCCTGCCTTGTTGTATGCAAAGACACTAATGAAGTAGGTGAAACCGCAGTCTGATTGGAAATGGCATTGAGTATGTGATGTGTTGCAGTGCACTTCCAAGCCATCATCGCTCTTCACAAAAACCACATAATAATGGCCAAAATTGACACTAGACCATGATACCAACAAGTTGCCAGGTTCATCCTCTTCAATTGATATATTTCCTGGGGCACAAGGGACTGAAAAAAAAAAATTGTCATCAAAATATTTTAAAGTTATACTTTATGGAAAAAAAAGTAAAATCAGGAATACAGGAATATACAGAATTATCCTACTCAGCTTGAACATTTATCATTGTCTTGATCAAAAAAAGCAACTCATACCTCTTTACAGAGGATGCTTCTTACATTTAGATGAAAAGTGAGTATGATTTTTACAGAAAAAAACAGATCTTACCTTTATCCCTTACATAAAAGAGACCTGCTTTCCTCTCCTGGTTCAAAAAGTATAGCTTGCTGCTACTAGAACATAAATGATCTAATTGAAGCAATGTTGGTTGAGAAGATTACAGCCAACAGCTTAAAAGTGTCTCTTGCTAAAGGCTTTCATCCCATTAGAACTACTTCTGAGTTGCTCACATGGGTGATCTCTAATTGATACAGTGAGAGGTCAGAATGAGACAAGTAACATTAAATAAATCATTAAATAAAGCTCAGTCCTTAAGGTAGCACATAACAAAAATGGTTTAGGTTTTGTTTATGTGAGCCATTCATCTAACAGATCAGGAAGCACAAATCTCTGACATGGCAGTGGTGCTAAGTAGCTGAGACTAGCAATCTTTTGTACTGACAAAGCTGCAACCTGCAAACAGCCTGTGACTATCTGAATTCAGTTTCATGGCACCATTTAGCTGGGAGTGATTATTTGTTAACCTGCTTTCTAAGTTGCAACTAAATCTAGCCTAGAGCAGTTCTCAGCCTAAAGCCACTTCTCCATGCTATTTCCTCACAGACTTTTCCCAATCTATTTGGGCAGATCTGTTATACCTTAGATTAGTTTTACACTCAGAAAATTGACTTTAGAACAAGTACTTCTGGGAGGAGGAAAATGCAGGCTTATTGTTTCATCTAACAATATATATACTGATGCAAGTTTCTCACGGAAATATGAAGAAAATTTAGGCTATTATCCCCTTAGTACAAAAGTATATGGTATAGTTCATGTGCAGAGTTCAGAAGCAGAAACAACTATTTGAGAATCATGAATTGTATCGGACTAGCATTTGAAGTTAAAGAAATGTATGTTAAAATGCCATAAGCTATGTAAGAATCAGTGATTCACATACTAGTTTTTAAGCTTACTGCATCAGTAGGTTTACTGGATCCAGCATCATTATGTGCTGTGACAAAAACAGAATATTCAGATCCACACTGGAGTGGCAGTACCACGCAGGAGGCAGAAGATGTGTTACACTTCAGTTTCAGGAGTCCACTGGAGGCTGTCACAGTGTAAGTTAGAGCTCCTTCTGCTGGCATCCAAGAAACAACAGCTCTTAAAGCACCACTATTGAAAACTACTTGAACATCCACTGGCGCCTGAGGACCTATGGCATATCAGTTAGGAATAATTGTAAGTACAACTTTGCGTATGGCCTACAGACATGAAGTTTTTCAGAACTTGCAAATGAAGTACAATTTTTTGTGGTGCACACCTTACCCTTGTTCATAGTAAAGTTGCAACATAATTTTCTAAATAAATGATTCTATTTGTACACTGACATAAAGCTTTCTGTTGAAATTCCTTGTCTTATTTGAACACTTGCTGTTCACAGTTAGAAAAATCCCCCAAACAGTTTAAGCTTGTGTAATCCTTACCTAGGCCTGTAAATCTTCAGTGGTAGTTAATGGCATGTTTGCCTCAGTAATACTCATCAGACATAGCCACACCATCTGGTTTCCAGGAAGTTTGAGATGGGCTAAGATTTACATGTTCTGAAAATCTACCCAATATATCTTTGAAAAACATAACACAGTCAAGTCATACACACACAAACACTTCTTCGTATATCCTTTTTTTTTTTTTTTTAATACTTACTTAGTTTTAGAAAATAAAATTTCTTACTTGTTCTTTGGTTGTATGTGAAATCATCTCCAGGAAGCCCATTGGCATTCCAGGCATATGCCTTGATAGTATAGAGAGTTCCTGGATCTAAATTTGTAAATACGAAGGAAGTATTGGTGGTGTTCTGCTTCAGCATTCTGCCCAAACCATCTGATCTCATCAGGGACACAGAGAATCCAGCTGCCATATACACAGCTTTCCAGCTCACTGCAATGGAGTCACAGCTCGGGGAACTAACAGACAGAACTGGAGCAGCCAGGACTGTTGAGAAAGAACATCAATTCAGCTTGCAGTTAGCTAGTAATACTGTTTGGAAGGTCCAAATTCCAGATGAATATACAAAATCAACAAATTATTAAAACAACAACAGGAAGACAAAATAGTGCAAATTTGACAGAATAAATCTGGAAACTGATTTGGTAGAACCATTATGTAACAGGTTTTGTAAAGTGAAAGCAACTCATACACAATGTATGAAAGTAGTGTGTGCAGAAGAATGAAAATCACTAAGAAGATACTGTATTTCCCATCATCTAAGTTTTGCATTGTCTTATTTTTACTTTTTTTATGAATTCTGTTATCTCAAGATGTGTCTTTTGTTAAAATAAAATCTGCATATTCATACAGACTCTATTAAAACTTCTCTATTAAACATTTAATTTAATGTCACAAAGCAAACCACCAAGTCAGACTCATGTCCTGCTCATTAAGTTAGACAAATTCCAGTCCTCAAAAACTGCAAGGAGAGTATGCTCAATACAATTTAAAATACAAAATTATAATAAGTGGTACTGGTACATTTCTGGGTTACACTGTTTCTTCTTTGTTCCATATATATATGAAACATATATATAACATACATATATATATGGAACATATATATATATGTATGTTATATATATATATAACATATATATATATATATATATGTATGTTATACTATATATATTTAAGCTAGGATGCTTTCATGAGTGCTTTATAGTATAATATTAAAGAATTTGAAATAAAAATAAAGTCCACCTGTTTTTGCTTTTCTGGAAGGTGAAGGCTGGCTTTTTCCTCCTGCATTTATAGATCTGATAGTGATTCTGTACGAGGTGGCAGGTTTCAATCCCATAACTGTACCCGGTGAATTTGTGACTGTAGTTTCAATGCAGGAATCTCCATCTTGTGCAGACAGTAGATAACTTGTAGCTCCAGGTACCACTCTCCATTCCACTGTGATACTGTTGCTAAGTTTTGAGTAAGCTTGATCGATAACAGGTATGTCTGGAGCTAAAACAGAAATAACAGGAGATGTGCTGACATTGGGGTACTTAGCCCTCTAAAACAGTGTGCTCTGAACATTGCACAAAGACTGATGAGAACAAATGGTCTACACCTTCTATTAATGTTTTAAATTTATTATTCAATTTAAACTAAGTTAAATAGTACGGTGTATTTACTTTTGTTTCAGGAAATAAAACTTTTTTCAGTGCATGCAGTACAATGACTACTGAAAACTGTGTAATATTTGGGTACTCTTAGGAGACTTGCTACTGGTATGACACACATTTGTCTTTCAAGGGTGAAAGACTGCATCAATTAGATTGATAGGTACTGTTTGGGAGGATGTGGCTTTTCTAGGGTTTATACAGGTCTGCTTGTCTTTCCCACAGCTTCTCTGGACAACTTTCTCCAGTGTTTGACAACCCTCACAGTATAAAACTGTTTTCTCCTCTTCATATGGAATTTGTGTCTGAATTTGTGCCCACTGTCTCTTGTTCTGTTATGGGTGCTTCTGAGAAGTTTGGTTCCCTCATTCTTTCCCATCAAGCAAATATATGCAGATTGCTGAGATCCTCCCTGAGCCTTTTCTTCTCAAAGCTAAATGGTCACAACTCTTTCAGCCTCTCCTCATATGAAAGATGTTACATATCTCAAAGGCAAATGATTCTGCACTAAGTCTAAAACAAGTGTAAATAAACATTAACAAAACGTGTAATTTTCAGGTATTCTAGATCATTTTTAATCTTCCAATTAAGATATTCTAGTACTCCTGAAATCACTATTGAAATGGGGGACATCAGTATGCTCCTTGAGGCAAAATTACTTGTAGCAATGCAGCTAATTTGGGATTTCCGAGATGGCAGAAAATATTAGGCATAGGTGTACAACCCTTGAGCATTATCTCCGCACTCTTAGACCCAAACATTTTCTCATTTAGTTATAGGCATACATCTTCTTTTGCCCCCTCTTAAAAATGGTAACATATATTCTATATCATGATACCTATGGAACATCTGCAGGTGTGTCTTTCTCTGTCTTTGGGCAAATTGTCAGCTACTGCACTATGATCTTATTTTTCCTTATAATAAATTATCTTCATAAGCAACTCATTAAAAAATATGTGCAGGAAATCCTTATGAAAATCTAAGGGAGTTGCTTGCCCAAAGATCAAGTAGACAATATATAGCATATGATTTATATCAGAAATAAATTATAGACCGTGAGTCATTAACATCCGTTCTTGGATAACTAATCTATCACTAGAGGGGTTTTATATTTATTGGGATAAACACTGCTACTTTTTAATTTTGATCCTTATTTTTGAAGTATTTTAAAAAACAAATTTCAACAGAATGTTTCTCAATTACATTTCAGCGGTTTTACATTACATTTCAGATAAAAAAGGAAATTTGTTTATGCAGATTCTGCATTATCCATCAATGACTTTATGCTACAAGTCCTTTTGCAAATGAAACAAAAATATAATTTATCAGCATTAGTACCAAAAAATGTATCCAGCTTCACATCAGCATTTGTAATGAGAAAGTAGATGATTTGGAAAGCTGCAGTCTGAGTGAGCTGTGTGTGGCAGTTTAGGGAAACATACATGAAAAAAGAAGAGGGGAAAATGAGCTAATCATGCTACTACTGAACTCAGTATGAGGACCAACAAAAGGCTTCAACAGGAACGGCAGCTTTTCCCTACAGGTACAATAAACACCAGGGATGAAATTCCAGTGCTACAGAAGTCAATGGAAATCATATTTCATGTAGGTTCTCTTACTAACCTGTTGACTGCATAATCTGTGTTTCAGCCAGAATAATTCCATTCATGTCAATGGCTTCTGCTTGTATAACATAAACAGTATTGGGAATTAATGAAGTTAGCGTGCCTGTAAATGTAATACCACTGAAATGAGCCTGTAAAGAATGGCCCACAGTATTCACAGCTGTAGCTGTGATTCTGTAGGTAAAGGCTCCTGAAAACTTGGGCCATCTGAGATAAATGCTTCTTGATGTCACATCATATATAGACATAGAGAAACCTAAAAAAACAACCAATCAAACAAACAAAAACAAACAAACAAACAAACAGAAAGAACAGAAAGAAAGAAAAAAAAAAAACAACAAAACAACCACAATCAGAAAAACATTTCAGTAAATCTAACTCTAGCAAGAAAATCAGTAAATCTAACTCTTGCTCTAACAAGACTCTAACAGTTCAGTATATGCAGAAACATGTACTATCAGCCTTCTTAGAGAATGAATCGATTCTGAAAGCATTCCTTGTAGTCTTGCATTCCTCATATTTTAATCTAGTTAATACATGTATGCATGCTTAAGATACTAGGAGTTCTTGGCACAAAATGTGAGATTGTAAGAAGTATAAAATGCCACGAAATATTAAAAACGTTTAGTGCTTAGGAGATAATACCAATGTCAGGGTATAAGTGGCCTGTGAGAATCTTTGTGTGAGTGTTCAACAGAATTGGGGCTCTTCAAAATGAGATTTCAAGTTTATAAAGATATCAACAGATTTTTTTATTTTTTTTTTTTTGAAACTCAATCAAACTTGAAAACATTTTTGTTTATAAAACTGTGAAAACAGTACTTATTATAAATCAGAAACTTGTTTGTTCTCTTCAGACCCATTCAAAAATAAGCATGCACAAACAAAATGCCATTTTGAAGATTTACCTGTGCTAGATGAAAAAACCTGAAAAGGAAGATGTAAAAAATTAGAAATACAAAGTGAAATATCTTACTTGGGAAATTAAAAAACTCCTGATAGTACTAGTAACAGCTTAAAACATTACTTTTTAGCACAAAGCTACTGATGTGATGTGTTTGTTCCAATTCTTTAAGCGCAGATGGTTTGTGCAACCAGTGAGATTTGGTACAGATGTGCAGATTGTATTACTTGATTTTCCTCTCTGAATCTGCCTGTTGAGTTAGTGTTCACTTGCTGGAAGACTTTGAAAGGACCCTAAAATACTGTTTTATGTTTGACCCTTATTTTCAAAACCTAGCCAGTTGCTTGTAAATATTTGCATAAGGGTAACAGTAACAAAGTATGAATGTGGAAGCAGGTGTTGGATAGTCTCTATCAAATAGCTTCTAGCTTTTAGTTTACCTTTACAAAGAGCACAGTATCATTCTAGAAAATAATCTGAAAGAAAATCAGTTGCACTCACCATTTCTAGGCTGTTGCAAACCAGTCCAAGGAATACTAATGACCGACTTTTTGAGCCGCACATCGTGACAGAACTTTGCTCCAGGCTTCACATCTGGATGAGCTCAAGCCGATGCCTGCGATGACTGGAAATACTTCACAGCGGCTCTGTGGCCACAGGAGCTTTACTTGCGGGGTGAGGGCAGGCTGCCTTAGCTTGGGCCCTCCTCTGTGACAGCCCCACACAGAAAGGAGCTTTTAGGCAGGCAGGTCGTTTTTTTTTTTTTTTTTTCCTTTCTTTTTTTTTTTTTCTTTCTTCAAGATACGGTTTCTGTATTGAGTACACATGATACGTGAAGTAATTAAGCTCAACACAAATTAGGAATTTGCTGTTTAGTTCACTGTTGCTACTTTTGTCCACTTACAAGCACCATTTTTCCGTCTGGAATTAACCCCTTGTCATACTTTGAGTGGAAAGATGTTGTACAAGCTTTAGCCTCCCTCAGGCCTTGTGCTGTGTGAGGAGAAGCAGACATTTCCTCTCAGTTTTTCTAACTCCTTCTGGGATTTTTTTTAACGACACGGCCTTTGCAACTTCAAGCTGAAACTCCATATCGCTGATTTTACGGGCTCAGAAAGGGGACCTTGTTGTGAACTGCCAGGGCTGTGTCGGATTACTTTTTACAGAGGGTCTGGGGGAAGTTTTTACGGGGGAGCCCTTTCCCCAGGGGCCGGGCTGCAGGCTCCGAGCACGGGGGACCCGCGGTGCCCCACAGCGGCTGCAGCGGGGCGGGCACGGCTCTGGCCGGCCGGGGCCGCCTCAGAAAGGGGCGCGGTGGGGCCGGGCCGGGGCGGCGGAAGGGAAGGAAGGGAAGGGAAGGAGGAGAAGGGAAGAAGGGGAGAAGGGCAGGGCAGGGCCGGCAGCGCGGACAAGATGGCGCCGGCGGTGCGGGGGCTGAAGAGCTTGGTGTGGCAGAGTGAGTGCGCGGCTCGCTGCCGCCGTGAGGGAGCCGCGGGGGCTGCCGTCCGAGGGGACTGCGCTGCCACGGCTTTGGGATTACGGCTCTGCCTCTTTCCGAGGCTGGGTGGGACACGGGTCGGGGCAGCCCTGCCTGCTCCCGGGGAGGGGAAGGGGAGTCAGCGCCTCAGGGGTCCCGCTGGGGGGCTCCCGGTACCTCGGAGCTGCCGGGGGAGCCGAGCCCGTCAGCGAGCGGCAGCGTGCGCCTGGCAGGGTTCGGAAGTAAAACTAAATACAAATAATAATAATAATAAACAACTCTGGAGGTATTTTTATTAGTGAGCTGCAGGGTTTTATGGCCGTGCTCGGGAGCAGGTTCTGCCGGTGTCGCTCCCAAAGCGCCGAGCGGTGGCGGCCGGGTGTTTGGCTGGAGGAGGCGGGCTGGCAGTGCCTCAGGGAGCCTCCAACCAGCCTCGGGAGGGGCGGGCAGCGGCCCCACGCCAGGCTGAGGTGGTTTGGGGCTGCTCGGGCAGCCCGGTGACCGGCCGACCCTGGCTGGAAAGGAAGGGCCTGTGGCCGCCCTGCCTTCTGCTGCCACCTGCGAGCTCCGGGGGCTGGCTGCTGGAAGGGATTGAAGGAACAGAAAAAGGGCGGAAAGAGGAAAGGGGCACGTTTTTGGAGCGCTCAGTGTGTAAATTACTGGCATAAATATCCTAGCTGCTGTAAATAGAGGCATTTATTTAGCGTTTGAGCTTCAGAAATCCCCTCTTTTGCTGCTTTCATTCTCCTGGGTTGCTCCAAGTTATTTGTGCCTTTGACTGTGACATTTTCTTGAGATTTTCTTCTGGGGGATGCTGAGGTGTTTAGAGAAGAGCTGGGCCTCATGAGGAGGGAACCTGATCAAAGTGCTGGTGTGTTATCAGGGCACACACGAACTTGGGAAAGTGGCATTGCTGGTGTGGACGAGACTGAAGGGGGAAAAAAGATTAGCACCGCTTCATGGTTTAATAATAAAACGTCTCGTAAAAGTCAAGTTTCCTTTGAAAATAATTGTTGTTAGATAGCTAGTAACTGGTGTCTTCTCAAGACCACAACAATTCTGAAATTGGTGAACAAGTTTCAGGTGTTTTTAGTGAATTGGCATTTTGTTTATGGGTAATTCAAGGCCAGAAGTGGAAGCTTTGTAATATTTCTGTGAAATGTTTTTAACGCTGGTTTGTCTGGAAATAATCCATCAGTAATGCTGACATTTCATGTGGCACATTGTTAACAATGCATATCTTATTCCTGTTTCGTGAATAGGAAAAAAAATAATGAGTGTTTTATCTATGCTGCAGCATGGTGCTATTAAGAGTCTTTGTTCCTTGGGAACGCATATTTCTGTAAGGTGCGCTTTGAGATGAAATCTAAGCAGAAGTATGTGGAAAAAGTTACCAAAGTTTACAGAGAATAAAGAGGGAGGGAGATAAAAAGAAAGCTACTTATATTTAGAAGACATTAGGTTTTTTTTTGAATGAAGTTAGAAAACTAACCAGATACACACACACACACACACACACACACACGCAGTATCTGTAAATAAGGTTATTTTCCCTAAGCAATTCTGTCATTAAAAACTTGTAACAGTTTTAAAATGTGTTCTAGATGTGTATAGTAACATTTTAACCTAGCCATGAATATTTTTATGATTCAGCATTTTTTTTTTTTTCAGCTTTGTTTTCCCTGGCACTTGCTTCTGGTGAAAGCCGCAGTTGTAGTACTTTAAGGAAGTACAGCATGAATGGGTCATTAGCTTGCCAAGGCGTGGGTTGCTTTTTTTTGTTTGTGTTTGGCTTTATTTGCCATATGGCAGTTTAGCAGTCTAATGATCTGTCCCAGTTGTGTCTAGTCTTTTACTTCTTGATCCTCTTAGTTTAAGGCATTTTTCTTTTACTTAATTGAATGTTTTTGGAGAAGCCAGAAGTGGAAAAGGTAGCTAAGTATGAAACTTTTACAAGAACTAAGGAAATGACACCATAGATGAGAATGGAGCACTACTTATGCATGGCCTTATGATAGTTTTTGTTGCCTTCAGAATACTTACTGGAGGCAAATGAGATGACTTTGAGATCCTGTAAATCAGTATAGTTTCTTTGGTGTTCCAGTTATTTGAGTAAAGTAGTTGCAGGCTGGGGATAAAATAAATAGCAGTTGGAAAATATGCCGCATTTGGGAAACTGGTAGCTTGGAATAATGTATTTATCTTTCACAGTGGGAGAAAGCTGACTTTTTTTGATTTTTTGCTAAGTTTGAGTAAGTTTGAGACAACTGGATAATGCATTTCTGTGTTTTGGATTATTTTATAGGCAAGCAAGTGAAAGCATTGTAGGAAACAGTATACTTGAGATTTTGGATGGGACTCTGAGTCCAAGTATTAAAAAGATCTCTGTAATGCTAAAGACTAAGTCTGGTAAGAGTGTTTTCAGAAAATACAAAGGCTAATAAACTTTAATGAATCTAAAGGTTTTTTAATTATAACTTGTGTAGAAACACAGAAGAAAATGCAACGAATGTACAAAGTGTAAAAAGGGACAGGAAAAAACGTTCCTGTATTACACAATGGCCTCGGGTATTAGTTTTGGGTATCTTGGGTGTAGATAGTATCATGCCAAAGGACCTTGAATGTAAATGAAGATCTCAATATTTACAAAAACTTAAGAAGTAGATGGACTTTGCTGTATGTGCAGCTACTATTCTGGAGCTCTTTGTGATTGTCTCACTTGGCAGGAATCACAAAATGTGTGTTGATTTTGTTAGTCTGTATTTTAGAACTCTGTTAGCCTTTTATATTTGGACTTGGGAAAAAGGCCTAACTGATGAAAGCCATAGTTCACAGCTTCATCTGAAATTCTGTTCTTTGGGAAGGCTTCTTTATGGTTGTGTTTATAAAAGTATAGGCTCATCAGTTCTCCAAATTTTCTGACTTGTAATTTGTAAATACTACTGCCATGGTCAGATTTGCACTAGAGTGAGGACTGTGCTCTGGAAAGCTGCAGCTCATAGTTCTGGTGATCTGTAATGGCTGTGGGACATAACTCTTACTGCTGAATCCTATACGTGATTTATAATTGACATTTCTCCCAAAGTTGTAATAGCAGGAAAAGTTAATGGATACCTGTTTTAAGGTAACTTTTATTTCCTGATTAAACTGGTATTTTTTCTTTTTTTCTGGAATTCTAGAGAAAGAGCAAGGACATGTGAAGTGTACACATATTGGAAAACAGGTTTAACTGTGTTGGTGTAACTATCATTTCTTGAAGAGTAACTTTGATTTTTGCATGTGTGCAATCTGTTTTATTGAACTAAACCGTTCCACTAAATAAAGAAAAAAAGACAAAATGAAATATTTACAGGCCTATGACCGTTTAGATTGATTTTATGGAGATTCTCTACATTAGCAAAAATTAGTATTTTTTAGAACAATTTGATTCTTCTAATTGGTAACATCTCTATTCCTTCTTACAGAGCTGAAATCAGCAATATTTGATGACTGCAGGAAAGAGGATGAATGGAAGGTATAGTTTTGTATAAATATAATTTAATGGCTATTTTTTCTTAATGTTGTTTGCTTTCCAAATAGTGGAATTTTAGTTCTGTTAAGTTGGGTCTGTGTAACACACAAAGAAAAACGTAAGGGTTAGCAGAGGAAGAACAAATGGCAGTTGTCTCAATTCTTTTTTTTTGCTAAATTTAGAAATTCTTCCTGTTTATCTTTGCTTTTCTTCTGAATGACTTGCACTTTATTCAGTTCTCCAGAACTCCACGTTTCTGCCTTAACTGCAGTGGTGGCCAGGAGAAAATAATATTGCTGTATGGTATGCGTGGAGCAGGATTCAACAGTATGAGACAGACTTTGCTCCAGACTCCAGCTCCACCAATGTTTGCTGTTTTCAGTGATAACGTCAACAGTAATAAAAATAATAGGAAAGTGCAGCTGAAATGGCTCTGAGAAAATCATCTATTTAAGTGTTCCTTTTTTTTTTTTTTGATCTGTAATTTCTATATATCTTCCTGAACAAGTATGACCTATTTCTTACTCCCTCTTGTCCCGTAGTCTGCTGACTGTTGCCTTGTTTTTCTGAATTACTTTTCAGCTGATGCCCTCAAGCAGCCCACAGATTCCTGGGGTTCTGTAGATTGCCTTTGAAAGGCACTTGACCATATTAATCATCTAATTATTATTTGTCATTCTTGAAAGTTTTGTTTAAAGGAAAGCTCCTGATTTTATGTTCTGTTTTTTTCAGTACATGATATATTCTTACGTCTATGTTTCCTTTTTTTCTAGCTAATATTTTTTGTTGTTGTAGTTTAAGCCAATTGTTACTGATCCCTTTATTTTGGGAAGAAATGCAAACAGACTGTTCTTTTTTTTTTTTTTTTTTTTTTTTTTCAGCTGACTTTGTGTCTGAAATCCATTGTCATATTTTTTCCTCTCGGGACTAAAATTATGCCAATTAGTTTGACTTCATTTTGACTGATTTTTTTTTTTTTATAATGAAATATTTCAAATTCACATGTGTCTTCTGAGCTGTGGAGAAGTGAAGACAAGAGAAAGTACTTAAGCAGTGATACAATATACCAGCGAGGTCTTGCATTTTATTGTAAATGGCTCAAGACTGATGTAAGCACAGGAAGATATACAGAGATGGTCAGGAAGGGTGAGAGAGCTTGATCACTGGAAGAGTGT